GGAGTCCACGCGGAGCTTTCATTTGTGCAGTGGGCCAGTTAAATGCGAGTTTCCCCGCATCAACGAGGAATATTTTGTTGAAATTAGTCTTGCATTTTTTCCCTCTGTAGAAGATATATGAAATGGATAAAATATCTGAAACACATATGTCTGGATCCACCATCGAATCCATATGGAATAGCATTATACGCACTCACTCACGACGTACGAAATAAAGAGGAGCATCACGGTTTAAAAAAACGATACTGAATCCTAACTCCTTAATTAACATATGTAGTAAAACTGTGACGCAGCAAATAAAAACAAACATGTTTGTGTATTTATTTTTAACTTCCTTGATTATAATTTGAAAATAATAATTGTAATTAGAAATTCTAAATAACTGAAATTCTTGGATAGAAATAAAAGGAAAAGTAAAATACGAGATATTGGGAATCAGCGCGGTAATTAATGCGCTAATTTTTTACAGTATAATAATTTAATAGTTGATCTTTCATCTTATATTTTTGTTTAATTTCACTTTTTTTTTATTTTGGAACTATGAAACTTGGAAGTTTTTACTTGATTTATCTTTCTTGTAATCAAGTAAGACGATCCTTTGATTCTTTTTTTTATAAATATTAAAAAATTATAATTTTGTTGTTTTAAAAATATTTTTTCTTAATTATTCTATACTGCCTCGCGAGAAATACAGATATACATACATACATATAAATATAATAACGACAAAAATGGCTGAAATGTCCATTGAAATATTTACGGTCAACAATTTGATTTAAATTAACACGGATCGAGAACACTTTTATCCAACAAAATAGCCGAGAGATATGTACATATACTGAGATTTTTTTGTATTTTGATGTCACGGATCGGAATATGAATAAAATTGGCCAACTTGTTTACTTAAAACTCCCGGTTTTACTGGCGTAGAAGATACCGAACATGCTCGCGCATGAATATGATTCGTCATTTAATAGCTCGGCCATACCGTCGAAAGTTCACTGCACCGCCCGAAACCGATATTCATCCTGAATGTTGAGCGAATTCAAGCTTCAATAGAGCGCGAGTTCTTTGAGTCTTTCGGAAAAAATTGCACAATGAATTTAAACCAATGTAAAGTTTAATCTTCGGAATCGAATAAGATATATTAGTTATATACCGAAATAACTATTTCTAGATAATAGTTTTTCATCACAACTAAAAAAATGGCTGTGAAGTTGTACAATCGTGGTATAAAAATTATGGTATATTTCTGTTTAGTTTATTTAAATTTAGGAATTTATTTAAATTAAATTTGTACGGTTTGATTTTTGTTACATTTAATTTTTAGGCTTAGATACGTATTAATAGCGCTGACGTTTGTTTACATATTTTTAAAAATGCTTGCGACACCAATGCTAAATGATACTCTCTCTAGAAGTATCGGTAGTAGCAAATCTAAGCATCCTTAGCTACGCCGCGTTGCTGGCTTCACGGAAGTAGGTTGATGATCAAGACATCGTTGGTGTCGGTCTTTAGAAATGACGCTGAAGGCTTTTATCCCACCCTCTCTCACATCGTCCACCCCGTTTGGTACTTTCACACAGACATCGTCGGGGAAGCCAGGGCTTCCCCCCCGCAAGCGTTCCTTCGTCTGCCCGACCCTCCTGCTATAGCGGGAGAATATTACAATAATGCGACAATGAACGCAATGATCGCTATCTGCTACGTACGTCCTGTATGGGGGGAGAGTGTCGAGCCACCCTTGCGGATCTCGTGGATACGCGCGCGTTCTGTGCCTGTGAGCTTTTCGTACACACAAGGGTGTATGTGTGTGCGTGCGTGCGTGCGTGCGTGCGTGC